ATGCGAAACAGATTTCCGGCGTAGCATATTTATCCCGATATAATCGCGTCTCGTCGTGTCGCCCACCGTCGCTTATCCTCCGAAAACTGCCGCAATCTGGATCAAAGCCCTCGCAAAAGGAACGTGCAGGCTCGAGGAGCAATCCTTCTTGCCGAACTGACAGGCGAACGTACGAGATTTTCTCGCTCGGCTCGTTCTCTCTCTCTCTCTCTCTCTCTCTCTCTCTTCTCTTCCGCTCTCTGATCATGTTCAACATCTTGTCTCTTTTTCTCCACGCGCGCGAGCGAGAACGCGAGTCCGGTCCAGAATCCCGAGGAAAAACCAGGTTCATTGCGACCGGTGGCTCGTATCCACGATTTATCCAGTCGCGGATTGCCTCCGCGAAGATCAGGGTCGATCTAATTTCGCGCGCGATCCCGAGACGAGAAGAAGAAGCTGCGAAGGAGCCCCCTCTTCTATCTCTGGCTGATGGCTCGATCTCGTATCTGGTCAATCTCTATCTTTCTCTCCTACCTCCGAGAGAACGCGAGAGTCCCCGGTCCGGAGGATTTTTCAACCGTTGATTGTGAAAAACACGAAGGAAGAATCTAAGAATTTTTTTTTCAAACCTTTCGTGACGTTTTTGGGGACGCGGACTGAGTCTGTTTTAGCGATAAATATTATTTTCATTTAACGATTTATTGTGGTTACTAGAGCAACGAAAGCGCGTGCCATTTCTCAATCTTACATTAACTTTAAGAACTTGCCAAAAATATATTTTTTCTAATATTAGTATTATTTTTCCTCAGCTAATGTAGGAGTTTTGCACGCGTAAATAGTTAATAATATAATCAGCAAGTAATAACCATAATTTTCATTCCCGAATTTTTATTATGAGCATAATTTGAATTCGCCGATTTTCTATTATGCACATAATTTTAATTTTTAATTTTTCATTATATACATAATTTTAATTCTTAAAAAATTTCTATTATGCACATAATTTTAATTTTTTATTATATATATAATTTTAGTTTTTCAATTTCTATTATGCACATAATTTTAATTCGCCGTATTTCTATTATGTAAAAATGACAACAATTAAAATTGTACATAATAGAAATTCGGCCAATTAATATTACGTACATAATAGAAATTCAGCGAATAAAAATTATTTACATAAAAGAATTATGGCAAATTAAAATTAATAGTAATTCGGTGAATTAAAATTATATACATAATAGAAATTCGACATAAACATAAAATTATGTACATTATAGAAACTCAGCAAATTAAAATAATATTATATTAAGTTTAACCGCAAACTGTAAAACTATCAAATTGGTTGTGATTCAAGCCGCCAAGATTCAATACTTCGGTTAAAAATTAAATTCACTCACTGTCAGTTAACATGTCTTTTTTACAGAAAGGAAAGGATATAGAATGAAAAATCCTTTACTATAAAATTAAAGTATTTATAACAAATCTGGGCTACTACATATACATATATAAAAAAACACGAAAACTAAATAATTATAGTTTTTTATCGATCTAGCATTAGGTCAACTTGATGACCTAAACGATAAGAAAACTGTAATTATTTAACTTTCTTGGTTTCTTTTTAAATACACACATAGTAGCCCATTAATATTTAAATCAAAAATAATATTTGTCGATAAAATAGACGTAATCAGTATTTCCTTAAGAATCGCGCTAAATTTATATCAATCTGATATTTTAATTGGAAATATAATAATGACGGTAATAATTACAATAATGTTTATAAAAAAATTAGCATAATCAATTGTTTTTTAAATGAAAACTGGAATAAAGGAATTGATGAAATTAAAGCTGTTTCAATTTATAGATTTAAAATTTAAATTTTAAGTTAAAATTCTTAAAAGAAATTATGGGACGAAAGACCCTATTGAATTTAATATAATTTTTAAATTTTTTAAGGAAATAAATTTTATTTTAATAATTATATTTTATTGGGAGGATAATTAAATAAAATGAACTTTAATTTTAAGATAATTTTAACATTAATTAATGAAATTTTTATAAAGGATTGATTAAATTAAATTTTTTTTTTATAATTTTTTATTTTCCAATCGCGTTTTAGAAAAGTTGTCAGTCGTTCGTTAAAAGAGACTACATCGTCTGTATCTCTTTCGCTCTCAAGCTCTTTTGCGAGGGAGGAAAAATTATCTTACGCATCGCTTTGCTCGATTTAAATTCAACACGGTGCATTTCGCCCATGAGAAGTTCCCTCTTTCCGTTTTAACTTTAACTCTCCTCCTTGTGGCTCTTAACTATGACATTCGGATAAAAACGCGAGACATAAAAATGGCTATAAAATGATATTTGATACGGGTCTGTGGAATCTGTCTTCTCTCCCTCTGCCTTTGTTCCCGCGAAATATTTCCCTCGCAATTACACTCGCGTAAAATGCAATGACTATTATTTCGTGATAAAGCAAACGTGTTTCATCCCGAGTGTCATCCCTTGCAAACATTATTTTGCAATGTGGCCGAGCGATGCGCGGCGTCCCATCTCTCCGCAAAATATCATTCGTTTTGTTTACGAGAGCGACTCGCGTAAAAATTCGCGTATTTTGCGGCGAGAGAGATGGAAACATCGTTTCACAACCAGATATCGCAATCCTCTCGATGAGAATATCCCGATAATTTCTGTTGTTACATACCGCGCGTAATACGCGTTTTCTCTCTCCATGACGCCATTATCGGTATAAATTTTTAAGGCGATCACGAAAAACACGCGCGATTGAACGTAATCGGCGAAAATGCTTCCATAATATCCATATCGCCGATGTGTACGCACATATACGCGTTTCGGTCTTCTACCGATTTACCCGCGCGTTTGAGAATCCCAAATATCCCGCCGAAATTGTAGTAATTATAATTAGAATGTTCCCCTAATATACCACCAAATATAACGCCGTTCGCAATATATACGGGCCGGATATACCGCACGAGAATCACACGTAAAATCCATTCCGCGTAATCCGTCATGTCTGCATTTATCCGTCATTAATTCAGTTGCGATTTTAATTGACAGAACAGCTACTCCGCTCGCATATTGTTTATATTATCGATTTTGCAGAACGTCCGCGACCACCGACCAGGTGATGAGCGCGGCTTACCCGTGTCTATGTGAATGATGCAATGATAACTATGCTTGTCTGTAACGATAAACCGAGGGGGAATGCATATCGTTAAAGCAAACCTGAAATTTCGGAAACTCCGCTAGCTAGAGTCGAATTAATATATGCGATCGTGTAGAAACATCTTTTTGCACAAAAAATCTCCTTGAAAGATGCATTGAATTTTTCATGCGTTGTTTCTACACGATCGCACATTAATTCGTAATTTTGCATATTTTTCATCTATTATTTTAATATTTTTTAATCAAATTTCTCATAGATAATATTTTAAAGAAATTGTATGTAAAGATCCTTTGATAGTACCCTATTTGAATTTAATTAAATTATATTTCTCCGTCGTTTAAATTTTTGCAAAGATTTATTAAAAAAATCGCGTCCAAGAATAATTTTCTCCATATTTTTCTTCTTTTTTATATATAGGCTAAACTGTTAGCAGATATTATTAATCTCGCTAATTGTCATCGAAATTACCCTCGTTATTACGTGGGGAATTTTATTGATATTTTCCTCTGGTGTATAATGGCGATTTAGTCCGCGTGTGTCACGTACGGGATATAAACATTTAATACGGGACAGCTAATCGGCTGTGATTCGTATCTCTTTTCGATTCGGAAAACAACATAAAGACGAGCTGGAAAATATGCATTTTTCAAATTGATCCTGCTCGATCCCGTTTCATCAAAATATTATAAATAAAGCGTTTTATTAAGTTTCTTCTCTCCTTTACTGAGAGAATTCTTGTAATGTAATATGTATCAACACACTGAAAAGCAATTTCTTGAATTCAAATAAATATTTTATTTCAATAAACTTATAAATCATTTATGTAAAACTAATAATATCGATTTAATGTGAAAAAATATTTATTTGATATAAGAAAATCCTCTTGAAAAAAACACAGATATTAATAATTTCTTTTCAGTGCAAAAACATCTTACAACAATCTTTATAAATGATTTCGCGCAATTTCCGAAATTCTCGAGTCTCCTCTCATAATGCATGGTATCAAAAACCGAGCACATAACATTTTTTAAATAAATCGCGATGAAATCTTCCTTCGTCAAAAAATTGTAAATAATTCGCGCGAGTTAAGGGAGCACTTAAAAATGAAAATCTGATATTCGTGACGCTTTTAATCTCCGGCCGGCATCGGTCGAGCAGCCGGCCTCAAAAGCGCCACATTAAATGTTTATTGTTCATCTACTCAAAGGACCGCTCAATGTAGTCGTACGGCTAGTTTCACGAGGTTAACCTAGCTGCGGTACCGCAGAGAGGATAGGCTAAAACCGGAGTCTAGTTTCGTTCGGTGGCGCTCTCGCCGCCGACGTCCCGGTAAAGTGCTCATCCCTTCTGAATATTTTAGGAAGTATATACTCCGGTCCCGCTATATTATATATCGGGGCTCGAAGACCCGGACGGGAACGTATTCCCGGGTCCTGATGCATTCGCGATTAAATACGTACGGTGTATCCGCGAGAACTCGCTTTCGCGAGTGCGCGAAAATTATAAATAACAGCCGGGAGCGCCGCGAAAAAGCGCGCAAATTCCATATACGAACAAAAACATTTGTTTGTCTGTAAAATTCCAGATGCACAATCGTGCCCCCGATTCCGAAATTGATTTCGAGAATTAAGCGAGCTTCTTCTGGAACGACGTCGTTTGTAACTCCGATGTCGGATTATAAAGGAGATAATGCGCAGATATATATTTATTTTTATTTAGAATCGAATTTTGAAAGAGCATATTTATCGCAGCGGAGAATCTTGGCGCTTTAAATGATATTAAAGGTTTTTGCGCTCAAAATCGAGGTTTCATGAATTGAGATACGAGTACTTACATCGATTTATCTGGCAGGTCATATTCGGCGGCCAGTCGTAGATCCTCCAACGCGAAATGGTGTTCTTTGAGGGCCATAAAGACCTCGGCTCTTCCCAGCAGCGCCAGGGGCAACGACATACCCTGATCGACCGTCTTGTTCTCATCTGAAACAGATGTCGTTCGATATCGTGTTATTTGGAAAAATATTACTATCCGGGCTTCGAGAGCTTTTTCTTCATCGATTACCATCGAGCGAACAATTTATATACATATATCGGCACGGAGCAAATGAAGCTATGAAAATGTGGAAGTCTTTCGAACGATTGATGCGTGTTGGCAGAACACGGTAAGCAGAACTTGAGCGAACCATCTATTTATTCTAGTTGTATATCTGGCGCGGTGCCTCGCGATCGGCTCGCCGAGAAAGCGTATATTTTAGAAATCCGTGTGTAATGGAAATTTTACGATGTATTTAATTTTAGAAAAAATTGTAAATATCTCATCGTTGCCTATATATAGTAAATTGTTGCTTGAATATATTTAAATTAATTAATAATTGATAATTAAATTAAGCAATTAATAATTAAATCAAGTATAAATATTATTTGTATTACATTATAATAAATAATGACATGATAATTAAATGCATTGCGTTCTAATTAGTGAAATAATATAATTTGATGTTATTTTGTATACAAATACAAAACTATGTATAGATTCGCTAATCGTTCGCTAATGATTCGTCCGAATAATTATTTTTAATTCATATATAGTAAGAACGCCAATTATTTGGAATAATAATAATAATATATGAAAAAATTATTTTCTTAAATGCATACTTAAGTCCTTTTAATAGATATTCGTAATGAATAATAACATTTCTTTCTTTACGTAATGTTTTTAATTTTTTTTGCAACTTTAATTCCACATTAAATAAATTTAAAAATAGAAAATAAAATAAATTAATAAAATAAAATTGTAGATGCAAATGTAGAATAATGTGAAAAAATCCAGATAAATAGTAAAATTTCCAGACTTTTCCCTGACAATTCCAGATTTATAAAATTTCCCGACAATGCCCAGTTTTCCAGATTTCCCTGACTGCTACACGGAAAGAATTTTCTCTTAGAATTTACCCTGAAAATCATGGTAATCATGGACAATATGGTCTTGGAAGAATTTTATAAGAATTTCTCCGATTAATATTTATCACAATAAAAAATATGAATATGTACATAGTCAAATTTAATATCTACATAGTCAATTTTATATTTTATCGTGATATAGATATTCTAAAATTCTGCCAATACAATATTGTCCATGATTACCATAATTTTAAGGGTATAAATTCTAAGAGAAAATCCTTCCCACCCTGACATTTTAATGAAATAAAAAATAAATGATATAATTTGTAACAGCTCTTTAAAAATTAATATACATATAAAAGGCAATAAGAGCTAATTAAGTTCTGTTATTAATATTTATTTGTGGAAAAAAATTTTTATAACATATTATATAACAAGTTCGTTTCGAACTTTTTTGTCTAATATTTTATGTTATAAAAATTGTTTTCCACAAATAAATATTAATAACAGAACTTAATTAGCTCTTATTGCTTTTTATATGTATATTAATTTTTAAAGAGCTGTTACAAATTATATCATTTATTTTTTATTTCATTAAAATGTCAGGGTGGGAAGGATTTTCTCTTAGAATTTAGTTGTCATTTATATAATAGATTTTAGTTGTCATTTATTTTTTAATATACATATATAAGAGCTCAAAATATTAGAGTTCGTTTCGAACTTTTTTGTCTAATATTTTATGTTATAAAAATATTAATAACAGAACTTATTTAACCACTGTTACAATATCATTATTATGTCAAAGGATTTTCTCTTAGAACATTTACTTTTTAATATTCTTTTTTATTATTCGAAACGAACTTACCACATAACAGAACTTAATTAGCTCTTATTGCCTTACATATGTATATTAAAAAATCAATGACATCCTCGGAGAATCACTGCTCAAATATAACATATAATTGGCGTTCCGTTGCACTAGTAGCGACCTAGTTGAGGAGCACGCAGGACGGCCTGACTGAACAGCAAAAGGGCCTTGTCGTATTGGCCGACGGCGGCGAGTTGGTATCCCTCGAGTCGTCTGCGTTTCGAAATGTCGGCATCCTTGTCCCTGAAAAGGGGCTTCACCTTTGCGAGCGTGTCGACCACAACGTCCCGTATTCTCGCATCGCCGAAGACCGCCCTCACTCGCCCTGCGTCGTCATCGATTCGGCCGAATATCCTCGACGTCCAGGTATCGCCCGCGGTTCGCGTCACGGACTCGCTGAAATCGTGGAAGAATCCCTTCTTGCCGGAGCGCAGGGTCTCCGACGAGCAGAGGGCTCTGTAAAATTCATCGTGATACGCCTGCATTCCTGCGCTCGCGTGCCACTCTCCTTTGTGCAGCGAGTTCTCCTTCTGCCCCGACTCGTTAACGAGATCTTCTCTGTGTGTGTGTGTGTGTGAGAGTGGATCGCCCTTAGACGTCTGAAATATACGGTACGTCCGTTTTTATATCGCGGATTAATATACCCTCTTAGTTGTTACGATTGCGCACCGCTTTTATATACATAAGTGACTTCCTCTTCTCCGTCTATTTGTATTTTCTCCGTTTTACTTAGAGCATAATTACTTCCGGTGTACTTATTACCTTCCTTTTAGTCTGTCCTTTTATATTTATATGGCTCTTGAAAGAAATATTTATCTTCCAAAGATCTTGTCTTAATTTACCTCTCGCGCTCTTACTCAGTTCCTTTAATTTTCTTAATATTCTTAGCTATATATATATTTATGTATATATATATATATATATAATTATGCATATTTTGATTAAATCCCCTCTTGCATATTTTGCTTGTGTATAAGAGAAAAATTCTCCGGGAATATACAATTTCCTTTTCCCTCGATTTCCTTGTACGCCAGCGAGTGGATAGCGACGACTAAAGGTCCGTCTTGTTGCTCCCAAGGTTGGCGTTCTCTTCGACCGATCCTTTTGAATATTACAGGAGCCACCAGTGTTTTGGTATTTTGTATCCGTCGAACACACGCGACCTCGTTTCGCGAACTCTCGAGGATTAAGAAAAGGGGTCTGAATTCACCGAGCGGAATATCAAGGAGTGCCGCGTACAAATATTTTATCGGGGCCAAAAAAATTCGTCAAAATCCGCGTAGTAATTTCGTATACACTTTGTCCGACCTTCTTTCCATCCGCAGTCCGGCTAAAAGCGGCGCGAGGCCGAAAAAGATGTTCCGCAGTACTGAATCATAAAAAGCGGTCCGGATCCCTGTCCTCTCGTCTCGAGAATTAAACGACTCTATTCGCCCGTGAGAAATGGCCACTCGGGAATCCTCTATCAGAGGCGAGACCCGAATATAAAAAACTTTTCCCGTCAGACGAGTCCTTCTTCGTTACTTAAAATCCCATATTATAGACTCCTTTTCAACTCTTTCGCTTATATTATTTTTTCTCACCAAATATAAATATCGATTCTTGGATTATTCTTACTTCAAATTCTACACCGTTTCTAATCGTTTCAAATTTCTTTTCACTGTTTCTCGCTTCAATCATCCATAGAGAATCTGCATTTGGGTTTTATTATTTTTTTTTTCTCAATTTTTCCCGACTCGCGTCGATTCGCAGTTTCGGAGCACTTGATCTGTCGAGACACCCGAGTGCATAGAAAATGACTGAAACTGATTACCGGTGGCGTATCGTTCTCCCCTAGACGAGTGAAACTTTAAAGATCCTCGACCACTCTCATTCACCGCGGAAACCGCAGTACCCGGGGATTCTTCACGCCTCTCGCATCGGCTCGATGCTTTATGAGGGGTTTACTTTATAGACACGAACGAGGTATTAGAACGAAAGACCGGTATTAGACTGAAGGCGCCGCTAGAATGCGGACGAATGGGAGAGGCGAATATATATATATATATATATGGAGAGTGGGACGAGGACAGAATGCGTTTAAGACGGGAAGCTGCTTCTTTCTCATTTTCTCGCTCTCTCTCTCTCTTTCCCTCTAGAAGCTACAGAAATAATTTTAGACGCGATCTATTCCGGTCCTAAACTAGACACGCTCTCTCCTCAGAGTCCTCTGCAGGGTATCCAGCAGACTCAGTGAAGAAAATTCCCCGACTTTTTCAGATTTTCCAAGACTAGAAATTCATTTTTTCCAAATATATAATTTGCATATATCTATGAGATGAATCAATTAAATGTTAGATCATGAAATCCTCGAGATATTTTTGTCGATAATGAAAAGGTTCGGAAGTTAAAATAAAAATGTAAATCAATTATACAATCTGCATTATGTATGATAATCGAAACAAACATGTCACTATATTTATATAAATGTCTCTATTAAACACGTTGAAATAAAATAACACGACGATGAAAATATAAATTAACGAATCGATTTTTAACAACGCAGAAAATTAGCGTGCTGGGAATCAAGGAAAATTATATTTGTTGATAAAAAATTTCAAATTATTGAGACAAATGTAGAATAATGTGAAAAAATCCAGATATAAATAGTAAAATTTCCTGACTTTGCCCTGTCAAGATTTCTAAAATTCTCTGACAATGCCCGTTTTTCAGGTTTCTCTGATCGCTAGACACCCTGTTTAATATTTAAAAAAACTGACGATAAACGACGAGTGATAAACAAAGTTATTTTTGTTCACAATATTCTTCGCGGGATCTTATTTATTAGAGACAAACATCATTTAAGGGGATGCTGACTGTGTCTGCTTTAGTGATAAATAATATTTTTATTTAACTACACAGAGCGAATTTTCTCTTAGAATTTACCTTAAAAATCATGGTAATCGTGGGACAATATGGTATTGGAAGAATCTTATAAGAGTGTATATTTACCACAATAAAAAAGATTAATATATGTACATAGTAAAATTAATCGAACATATGTTATATCTTATTGCGATAGACGTTAATATTTTTCTTGTGGTAAATATCAATTAGATAAACTCTTATAAAATTCTTTGAATATTATGTTGTCTTAGATTACCATGATTTTCAGGGTAAATTCTAAGAGAAAATTCTCTCTATGTGTAATAAAAATTTTCAAATTATTGAGACAAATATAGAATAATGTGAAAAAATCCAAATAATAAAATTTCCTGACTTTGCCCTGTCAATTTCAGATTTCTAAAATTCCCTGAGAATGCCCAGATTTCGCTAGACTCTGTTCATTCGTAAGCGTATATAATATCAAAAATCTCTCGTCGATAACGACATTCGCGATTTTCCGCCATTCTTTGTCTGACCCCTCCGTTTTCTCGTCCTTTTTTTTTCGCCGATGTTCCGTGTGGTCTTTTACCTCGCCTCTCGAGTCGACGCGGAAATCCTATCCCCGATATCTTACCCCATCACTGCCGTTCTACCACACAGAGCCCCATTATAGTCGAGAAAATTTATCGCCGAACGTCCTTGATCTCCCTTCCTGCGTCTGCTTTTCCTCCCCATCAACCCCAATACCACCCTCCTTACTTCCTTCTCGCTCGCAAAGGAAAATACCTGGATTCGAGTAACTCGTAAATCGAACTAGCCGGAGTAATAAAGTCGTACCGTGATGTTACTTGCGCGAGGGTGATTCCGCCTACGGAGTTTCCACATGACTTTTGTCCTTGTGACTTTTTTGCCGTAGTACGTCAGGCAAAATCTTCCCGGTCTCGTGTGCGCGAGACTACGTTTTTATGTGGTTTTCCCTCGACCGCTTAATGGAGAAGCAGATCCGACCTTCGTTTCCCGGCGACAAATTTTAATTCTTCGGATCGCGTCGACTAATGTAATTTTAATTACATCACTGTTATTTCATTCGCTTTTATTTTTACTTGTAATCTCTTGTTATACGTTAAAATTAATTAAAATACAAGTTTCTTTTAGATATCAATCAATTTTTAATGTTTTAATAAATTAATGTTTTTGAAACAAAAATATTTCCTCGTGATAAAATAAACTGAGGTAATAAGGTGTTGGAAGAATTTTATAGGAGTCTCTCTGATTAATATTTACCGCAATCAAAAATATTAATGGGTATGTACATGGTAAATTTTACTAGTATTAGTAAGTAGTAATAGAGTATATTTTATACTTTATTCTGGTAGATATTAATATTTTGATTGCGGTAAATATTAATCAGAAAAACTCTTATAAAATTCTCCCAACACCATATAGTCCCACAATTACACAATGATTTTCAGGGTAAATTTTAAGAGAAAATTCTCTCTGTGTATCTAGTAGGTATAATTAGAAATCAGAAAGAAATATTTTTATCGGCTCTCAATATTAAGAATATAAATATGATGTTTTTAAATCGGCCAACAGAGCCAAAGCACGAAAAATTAATTATTCGGAACTGTATCTCTTGGTTTGAGATCACTAAATTCCATATATAAATTAATCTCGAAACTTACATATGGAGAACTTAGTGATCTCAAACCAAGAGATACAGTTCCGAATAATTAATTTTTCGTGCTTTGGCTCTGTTGGCCGATTTAAAAAACATCATATTTATAATTGAAAATCCTTTACAATTTCTTTCCTCAATGGTAAAAGTCGACCAAACTGGCAATCATTTATTGTAGATAATTAGTTAAAATACAACGTTTCGGCTGTCATTGCAGCCCTTTTCAAGTAAATCTATAAAAAGTTACATAAAAATAATTATAATTTTAATACATTTATCGCAACAATTAATTATAAATTCATAAACAAAAAAAAAATGTTATATACCAAAAGTAAATGCTAAATAAAAAAAACAGTTAGCAAAAAATAAAAAAAACAGTAAGAATCTTAGTCACTACGTGTTAAAAAATCGAGACAAAACTAATGTGTCTTTCGCAATCTAAAACCTAATAACAGAGTCAAATAAATAAATAAATAGGTAAAAATAAAAATAATTTAAATAGCGTCAAGAACACGATCATAAATCCCACTAAACTTGATCGGACTTTTACCATTGAGGAAAGATTTTTATTAATTATTACTGGCGAACCTTAAAGGATTTTTATCTGCTTTACAATTTCTTCGAACACAAATAATATTTTGGCACGTTTTCGGAGCAAGTTTGCAAAGATACACCCGGCCATCTGGCCCGAGAGAATTTGCGCCCGACGCGTTTTCCATCCTCGAAAATATAAAGTATCGATGCTGCCGCTCTGATGAAATATCGACACTTGACTTCTTGGAGTAAATGGAACCTTTCGCGCGCGGTAACGTCATATGAAATTCCCGAAGGATCACCGACAGGACTGCCGGCAGTTGTATCGATTTAACGTCCGACCAAGTACGCCCCGTTAGTCGTCATATGCGTGTCAGGTTTCTCCCTCGTCTTATCTATTCGCAATCCCGCTCATATTCTTCTTCGGAACGTATATGAATTTTTCAGTATTGTCGTCGCGCGCGATTCAGCTCCCTTATATACCCTATATATATATATATATACTGTTACGGGAAAAAGGATTTTATGCCGGAACAGTTGGACGCCAAATTCTGGTATTCGCGTTAAATTATTATATACAGGAGATCCTTCGCTTCCGTCGCAGCGGCAGATTGTTCGAAGGCGATTTATATTTCATTCCATAAAGAAACGACCTCGTTTCTCCATCTCCCGTTAGAAACGGCCCATCGCGCGGTAAACAAATATATAATAATATCGCGTGACAAGCAGCGCATTCGTGTCTATTCTATACGTAAAGGCACTCATTGAGTTAGATATTTCTTCGTCTGCGCGACAGGCTCTTTTTATTTCCGCAGCATTTTTCGCAATTGCGGCCGCGAACGAAAGTTCCTTCCACCGAGCGGTTTAGCCCAATTCCGATATAGGTACATTAAATTCTGCGGGTAATCCCCCTTTTTTAACCGGCTCTCGCGCACTCTGCGGTCGTTTCTCATGCAATTTTTTTTTTTTTTTTTTTTTTTTTTTTCGAGGAGAACGTTCGCTGACAATATATCCGCGCGATAATCGGGTCGATTTATGAACCAAGATGGGAAGCGGAGCAAAATATTGGTAGCCTTATCGGTCTCGAAATTTCTCTCCGACTCTATATACAGGGAAAATAATGTAGATTCATTCATTCGCTTAGTACCTACCCCTATAGTAATTAATAAATTCTTTAGCTTATGCGCCATATATTTAATGACCAGACGCGGCGAACGTCGTCGTAATCGCGCGTTAAACGGGATGTTCGCGCGCACCAAAATAAAAAGGGCTCGCATATTTCGCAGTTAAGTTTTCGCGGCGATCGTTTAATTCCTACAGACGCTAAATGGCATTCTTTCTTTTCGTCGGACGGAGGTAAGCCATTTCGCGCGTCAGGGCAGAAAGACGCGGCTGATTCGCGTAATTCGAGCAAATTGCACAATAATGCCGGCGCGGAATATTCGCCGAGGGATCTTAATGGTATTTTTATCGACTTTCTTACTTCAGCGCGACAGCGACGATGTTCGTGCGCGGTCGTCTTAAAAAAAAAAAAAAAAAAAAAAAGTCGAGAAAAGGTCTGCCGTGACAAGAAAAAAGCTCTCCCTCTCTTTTTTTTTTCTTCGATCAATCGCGTTAATTTTTATATTAATTATTCAAATTAATTTTCCCTCGTCTCTCTCGAGCGTAGCTATATAAAGGCGCGAAATTACCATCGCACCCTGTTCGACGAAATACCTCACTTTGCCTCTGAGCGTCCGGCGCCGCCAACTACGTGTCATTAAATGCAAATTTCGCGCGCGGCCAGTAGGGCAACTGCAGACCAAAGTTTAAACCGTATTTAGTGAAGCGTTCTTGCCGATTAGAGGAGCGGAACAGATGTATTTCCGGAACATATGATTACCCGCGATGAACAGGCCGAGATTCGCGGACTCGG